GTTGTCGCCGTCGTCCTTGGGAGCGTCCTTGGAGGCATCGCCGTTGTCAGAAGGAGCGTCCTTGGAGGCATCGCCGCTGTCAGAAGGAGCGTCATCGGACTTGTCGGCGTCACCGTTCTGGCCAGGAGCGTAGCCGGCAGGCTTGTCCGCCTCACCGTTATCCGCAGGAGCGTCCTCGGTGTCGTCACCGCCCGACTTGCAGTCGTCCTTGGGAGCGTCCTTGGAGGCGTCACCGTTGTCAGCGGGGGCATCGCCAGACTTGTCGGCATCGCCGTTCTGACCAGGGGCGTAGCCAGCAGGCTGGCTGTTGTCGCTGTTGTCGGCGGGAGCATCCTTCGAAGCGTCGCTGTTGTCAGCAGGAGCATCCTTGGAGGCGTCACTGTTGTCAGCGGGGGCGTCGCCAGACTTGTCGGCATCGGCGTTCTGGTCAGGAGCGTAGCCAGCGGGCTGGCTGTTGTCGCCGTTGTCGGCGGGAGCGTCCTTCGAAGCGTCGCCGTTGTCGGCGGGGGCCGAGCTGTCGTCGCCCTGAGGAGCGCCGGCAGACTGGTCGGCGTCACCGTTTTGGCTGGGAGCGTACGACTCCGGACCGGCACCGGCACCGGCGCCAGCAGCACCGTTGGCGCTGCAGCCGAACTTGTCGAGGCCGTTGAAGCCGTTCTGCAGGTAGAAGTCGCAGCTGTTGTCCCAGCCAAAGTCGCACTCCTTCTTCTTGTTGCAGGCGTGGTCGGAGAAGTCCTTGGCGTCCTCGCTGCACTCCTCGTCAGAGCAGCCGACCTGCTTGGTGTCGATGCCGAACTGCTTCAGCGCAGAGCAGATGTCCTTGCGCTTGGCCTTCTTGTCAAAGCAAGGAGCAGTGTCAGCGTTGCCACCACCCTGCTTAGGGAAGGTGGGGCACTGCTTGTCACTGTCACCGTTGGAAGGAGCAGAGCCGGGCTGGCCCTGGGGCTGCTGGGGCTGCTGCTGAGACTGGTCGGGCTGCTGGGGCTGCTGCTGCTGCTGTTGCTGCTTCTGCTGCT